TAACCGGTCCACCGGTCGCGCATGTCGGTCCGAAATGTTTGTAATTGTTCCAATTAGCCCTGATCTGGGTAGATACTGTTGTCAGCGGCAAAACGCGCCAAATCCGCGCTACAAAAGAGAGATGAAGTGAGATATCCGAGCGGATTTAGGAAGTGAAAAGAGCGGGCATACCTGCAGCGGTGTGGCGAGGTGTGCGGATTTGTGACCTCGGTAGCCTGCCCAATCATTAGCGAAGAGCCGCCCTCTCAGCTTAATCACCGTCCCACGATCGAAGCCCGTAGCAGCTACAGTCTATCTACAATCCGGCCGTTTTACACAGAAGCTGGATACAGGGACTTAACACCAGCAAAGCTGCCAACCTCTGCCTGAATGGGCGCCGGCTACGACAGAAGTCGTGAAGACACGTCCTCTGGAGGTACGGGGTTTGGGATAATGACTTCTCGGGATCTACAGGGGAAGCCTTAAAAGCCTTGCGGACAAGAGGCCGGCTTGACTTGTGTAGCCGGGGTTTGGGTGTCAGCCAGAGGCGGTGTTGTAGCTAACCCGCCCGGGGAGCACGTAGAACGCAGGTGGGGCTGCCGTGTCGACACTTGGTTCCGACAAGCGGCAAACCGACACAACCCAGAACCCTCCTCAACCTAAGGCCAACGACCGCCGTAACGCGTTACTCACTAACACTAACACGTACTCAGGATAATACAGACTTGACGCAAAGATACCTGCTTCTTTAGCTACTGTTTCTGTGAGTCTCGTTAAGTTTTACGACAGTAGATGTGGGTGGTCCTGCCTAGGAGAGGCCAGGTGCGCTCTGAGCTATCGCACACACGTCTGTCCCGTCCGCAACACCCTCTCACGTCCTGCCAGCCTGGCGTTATACAGCAGATACAGGACTTAAACTCACCTCGCTGACAGACGCTTGCTCCTGCGGTGTGGGAACCAACGGACTGCCGACCTTCTCCTCCCCTTCTCGAACACTCACCAAAGCCGCGACACGGTTTGAATTGACCCTAGGGGGGATGCAGCAATCATCCGGATACCCAATCCATCAACTATCCCTCCATCCTGAAGTGGCTCTTTTATTTCCCGCTCATTGGTTCGTTGTTCGGCTATTAGCAGCAGCTGATTTATAGTGTGGAGGTTTTTTGTCCGGTGTTTGTGAGGATGGCTGGAGGCGGCAGGTAGCGCCCTGCAGCTCCGCCCACCCTACTCACACACAGGTGAGTTTCCTCGTGACGCAACGGCCATCCTTCAGCTGTCCAAATAGAACCAACCTGTGCCCCAGATGACTCATACTCGTACGTACGGGGGGACGTTTTCTTCGGGTAGCCTCTACCAGGCCTCGGGAGGCGGCAGACAGAATAGAAGTTGACCAAAATGATAGATAACATGCCAGGAGAGTTCATTCGCTAATGCCTAGTACAGGAGTACAGTTTGCTGCTCCAGAATGTACTAACTAGTAGACCAACTCACACAGGTACGGGGGGATGTTGTCTTCAGGTAGCCTCTACTAGGCTTCGGAAGCGGATGGACAGAGGTAGCCTCCACCAGGCCTTTCTACGGGAACACGGATCGTAGAATTCGGCAAAAAAAGAGAGTAAAATGGGCCAAGGGAGTCCTGCCGCGGGGATGGGACGTTAAGTCAGAGCATGTTAAAGAACCCACCACACTTATCGGATAGAACAGAGGTCCTTCCCGGTGTGAGTGGTTCAAACCTTACAGTCTGGTCTCAGGTCTGACATCTTTGAAGAGGTGATAGTCACCTGTTATATCAATCCTTCCACAAATGTGGTAAATCTTAAAAATAAGACAGTCCTAGGTTTGCCATCGTAACTGTGACGAATAATCGAGGCACGATATTTCACATTCTACAGTACAGTAATCTCTTCCACCATTCTATAACTTTGCATTCTCTTCAGGAGAAACATTTAGTACCAACATGTCGTTGGTAATATATAGCTGCTTGGTACAACACTCGGTTTAGCAAAGTGAAACTGTATAGCGAATATTGGTCATTGTGTTTTACGGGTTGTCTATCAGTAGAATGTAAGTCATAAGACAGGCTTATGTTGTCGTTGTTACTTTCCCTTCGGGCAAGAATGTTCTTAAATGCTTCTGGGTAAAGCCTACGGAAAGATATTCTCTCAACCCCGAAACGAAAGCATAAAAACAACCTTAAGACTGAAGCGTCTGTATCAAACACCAGTAGGACTTCTCGGAGCCTATATATCGTTATGCAACCCAACTGCGTGCGACCGCCCAGTGCTGTGTTGGTTCTTCATGTCAGATACATATCTGTGCCTTAACAGTGTCTAAACTGTAACAGGTATTGTATCCAGAATCAGGGCCTATCTAGTTCTATTCCTGACTGGGTTAGAATCAGGCACGGTTCTGGATAGTCTCCGCTTGTCCAAGAACGCAGAGTTGCTCCATCCACGGTTCTGGATACGCGTGGACTATCTAGTATCTAGAACCGTACCCGAGCATGTCAGATATATATCTGTGCCTTAATAGTGTCTAAACTATAACAGGTATCGTATTCAAAATCAGGGCCTATCTAGGTCTATTCCTGAATGGGTTAGGATCAGGCACGGTTCTGGATAGTCTTCACGTATCCAAGAACGTAGATCTGCCCAAGCCACGGTTCTGGATACGCGGTGACTATCTAGTATCTAGAACTGTACCCGAGCATGCTTACGGTAAATCACTGTTCTGGACAACAATAAGAGTAAGGTGTACACACCTACCAGTTAACGTGTCCCCACAGTTCCTCAACTCTCAGTCCCTCCCTCACTCACTCCTAACGCAAAGGCGTCTTACATAATTCTACAGAAACGTCAGGTAGCGTGGCGGTGACTATCTAGTATCCAGAACTGTACCCGAGCATGCTTACGGTAAATC